TCTCTCTCTGTCTCTCTCTCTCTCTCTCTCTCTCTCTCTCCCTCTCTCTCTCTCTCTCTCTCTCTCTCTCTCTCTCTCTCCCTCTGTCTCTCTTCATTAGTGTCTATAAAGCCAGATGTGGACTGTCTTCATCAGTTGTGCTCTCTTTAGCCTGTGATCATCACTCTGTCCTGTGATGAATGAACTCTGAATCTGCACCGTGAAACTCGACCTGCGACATGTCTCTGTTTAACAACAGACTGAAAACCAGTTTCACTTCCTTCATGTCCGACTGACCACAGCCTGCATCACTGATGGTTTGAGCTGGTCTAAGGAAGTCCTAATGAAGCTTCTCTTTTCTTTGTCTTTTCTCTTTTCTATTCTTCTCTTTTTTCTTTTCTTTTTTCTTTTCTTTTCAATTTCCTATTCTCTTTTTCTTTTTTCTCTTCTCTTTCCTATTTTTCTCTTTTCTCTTTCAGCCAGTGGACGGTCAGCTGAATGTAAACATGAGAAGCAGCTGATCTTTGATGCTGAGACAGATAATTCAGTAACAGCATCAGTGAATGTTTGTAGATGCTCAAATACAGAATAGATGTAGGTATGAAAACTCTAGTTAATGGTGAGGAAAGTTGTGTTTTCTTTCCTCTTTGCTCTCCATCTTTCTCTCCTCTCCTCTCCCCTCTTGTTTCCTCCCCCACTCTCCTCTCCTCTCTCCTCTCTTCACCTCGCTGCACTCATTTGTTATGTCTCTCTCCCTCTGGGCTCCATCCTCTTCTTTCTTTCTGTTTTTTCTGTCTGTTCCTCTCCATCTGCTCTCTCATTATGTTTTTCTCACCCTCATATATTTATTTTATCCTCCTGTACGTCCGCTGGCACTTCAGTAAATACAGGGGAGAAAATCGGAAGCTGCCCCGAGGAGAGGCTTCATCTATCAGCTGATATTTACAGGCGGCCACAGCTGTCCGCCGGCACATATTTAATAAAACATTAGCAGCTCACGGAATAAACGCTGAATATTTTTGAAATGAAAAACATTTTGATTTTCAGCTTTTTCCTGAAAAAACTTTTTATCTTCAGAAACACAGTGTTAGTGGAGTCACGTGACACGTTTTACTTCCTGCTTCCTCGTCTGCATGCTGACACAACTTTAATTAGCAAAACATCCCAATTTTCTATTTATTTATTTATTTAACATCAGCTGTCGAACCAGTGAACACAGTCCAGCTGCTTCACTGTGTTTTTAACACAGAGCTTCATGCAGCATCTTTTCATGCAGCATAGGGAACATCGTGTTTCAGACACAGTGTGACGTGAAGACGTGTGATATGAAAAACACCTGAGGACAATTAACACAGTTTAATACAGCTGTAACACAATATATGTAAACATGTGAAAACCTGCTCCTCTGCTGGGTAGAGTGTGATGACGCTCGTTTTATGGATCTGTAATTACTTCACTTCATCAAACAGAAATCTCATTAACGGTTTGACGAAGTTTAAGTTTCACTGCAGATGCTAACATCAACTTTAATGTTGTGTTTTCAGCTCTTTCTGTTGCTCTGAATAACCTCTGTCCAAGTCACATTATGTATTATTAAATATTACATATTGTGTTGCTTTTATTATTTTGAATGTTGTTTCTGTCCTCATGATAGAGAAGGACAATAACAACAGTGAGTTTATAGAAGCTGTGTCTCTGTGGCTAAAAGAAAATAACATTGAGTTAAGTCACTAAGCCTCCTCCTCCTCCTCCTCCTCCCCCTCCTCCTCCTCCTCCCTAAGTAATGCTGTTACTCTAAAATAACTCCCTGCCTACCTCCACCTGTCCTCCTGACATTCACACACACCAGACGTCACTTGCTGGTGACATGCAAACACAGAAGGAAGAAATTTGATCAAATGACAAATGCTGTATTTTCTCGTGAGGACATGCTTCATCACGTTTCATTTTCTAAATGAACATTTCTCATGTGAAAAACATTTTGAACCAGATTTAAAGTTATAATCTGTGAGATGTAAACATGCAGACCTCTGCTCTATGTTGTTGAGTTGTGTTCTTACATCATCACAAATGTTTCCATCAAGCCAGAGACTTTGTGACTTTAGTCACGGTGATGGTGATGGTGACTTCAGTGTTCGCCTGCCAGAACTATCAACATTGACTTTTATCCAGTTTTAAGTCTCATGTTTAAGATTCTCTTTTTCCACCTCGGTGGTTTTCAGCTTGTTATTTGAAGAAGATGATTTTAGTCGTGGGAGTTATCAGAGAAACGAGCTGAGGAAACGTTGGACAGCTCAGAGACGTCCTGTCACTGAAGAGCGTCGGAGATTTTAAATGTGAAACTGTTTTATTCAGTGTTTCTACTGGTTATAATCACCCGGTGTGTTCGTTATTCAGACGGTTAATTCAGATAATAATAAATAATAAATCTCTCTCTCCTGACAGATGTACGTGACCTGCACGGTGCAGGCCAAGGGAACCCGTCTGGCCAAGCCGGTGCTGTCCCTGGGCCTCATGTGTCTGGCCTTCCTCACCGGCCTGAACCGTGTGGCTGAATACCGCAACCACTGGTCGGACGTCATCGCCGGCTTCATCATCGGCACGGCCATCGCCACGTTCCTGGTGAGACTCACATCCACAGAGGTCGTCTGACATGAAATAAAAACCATCTGAGACATTAAACCTTTGACTCTTCTTTGCCTTTGAAGTTGAAACACAAACATTTATCAACATTCTCAATTCAGTTTGTTTTTAATGTTTGTTAAATTTTTAAAAATGTTGTTGGACATTAAGACAAAGACATTGATTTACAATCAAAGACAAAGGTTTAAAGTCTCACGTGGTTTTTATTTCATGTTTCTTTTAGTATATTTTCTGGGCTTTTTTATGCCTTTATTTGATAGTGCAGTAGAGAGACAGGAAACGGGGAGGCAGAGAGAGGGGGAATGACATGCAGCAAAGGCCGTCCAATGCGGGACTCGAACCGGGGCCGACTGCAGCGAGGACTGTAGCCTCTACACATGGGGCGCCTGCTTAGACCACTGCGCCACTCGACGCCCCAGTTTCATGTTTCTGATTCAGTGGCTGAAGAATAAAAGTTTTAGTGACAGTGTTGCATCAGGTGAATCTTTACCTGCAGCCAGCGGTGATCATCTCCTCCTGTCCTCCTCTCCTCTTGTTTCCTCCTCTCCTCTCCTCTCATGTGTCCTCCTCTCCTCCTCTCCTCTTGTTTCCTTCTCTCCTCTCCTCTCCTCCTGTTTCCTCCTCCCCTCTTCTCCTTGTTTCCTTCTCTCCTCTCCTCTTGTTTCCTCCTCTCCTCTCCTCTCCTCTCCTCGTTTCCTCCTCTCCTCCTGTTTCCTCCTCCCCTCTTCTCCTTGTTTCCTTCTCTCCTCTCCTCTCCTCGTTTCCTCCTCTCCTCCTGTTTCCTCCTCCCCTCTTCTCCTTGTTTCCTTCTCTCCTCTCCTCTTGTTTCCTCCTCTCCTCTCCTCCTGTCCTCCTCTCCTCCTCTCCTCTTGTTTCCTTGTCTCCGCTCCTCTCCTCATGTGTCCTCCTCTCCTCTCCTCTCCTCTCCTCTCCTCTCCTCTCGTTTCCTCCTCTCCTAATGTTTCCTCCTCCCCTCCTCTCCTCGTTTCCTTCTCTCCTCTCCTCTCCTCGTTTCCTCCTCTCCTCCTGTTTCCTCCTCCCCTCTTCTCCTCGTTTCCTTCTCTCCTCTCCTCTCCTCTCCTCTCCTCTCCTCCTCTCCTCCTCTTCTCAATTTCTCG